GGGCCAGCTGCCGCCGCACAGCCTTGGTGTCAATGCAGGATGACTCAGCCCCTTCCTTCAGCAGTTCAGAAATGAGGGTACCAAAAGCGCTGAGCGGTGGGGTGTCTGCCTGGCTGCGCGCCCAGCTCCAGGAGGCATACCCTTCCTGTGGAAGAGGGCTGGTGTTCTTATTTCCTCCTTGATGCTGCAGTGTAAGTATCTAGTCTTTTCCCACAGAGTAGAGACTCCAGCAAAGCTACCCTTGGCTGTTTCCAATGCATGCTTAGTTCTCTGTTGTACTAAGGCATATGTTATGCATCACTTTTAACACCAGTTGAAATCTCTGGGCAGATTATGGTGAGTTTGGAGTTATATTTTCCCTCCTCTATTTAAGCATCATGCAGGCTTCCTCAAAGATGAGTGGAAGGAAAAAAGGAAACAAATTTGTGAACCTTCACTTTTCAGCAGACTGCCTGAAGTCTGTGGTACATTTAGAAAGGTTCCTGTCCCAAGTGATAGTCTTTTTGTCATTTGCATGCTGAGATCTGCCTCTCTTCAACTGTTTAGATGTTTAGATGTGATCTCTTAAGACATTGATTTAGCCTACTTGATTCTATGCATATGATTTAAAAGAAGAGGCATTCTGGGGAAATTTTGGCTACATGTCTCCTCATCCATCAACTAGTCTGTGCCAGAATTGTTCTTCCATTGAACTGTTCTCCTGCAGATCAATTAGTCCATCCATACAAGGTCTTCCAGGACCTACACCCCCTGTGTTTGTGTTCATGGACATTGCTTATCTAATAGACCAAGGATGCTGAGTTCAGTTAGTGTCCATTGCTCCATTACAGGTACCCAGGAAACAGGCAGGACTTGCTGTAGCAGGTAGAGGTGGTGCATTGCCCTTCTCTGAAAACAAACAAGGCTGAACTGAGGATGGTTACCCATACTGGCTCCATGGACAAACCCCCCCGCTTGAGTTCAGCAGAGATAAGCCCCTGAGCACAGTGTTGGTTCAATGTGTCATGTGACATACTGAAATACATGGCAACGGGTGGAGGGAAATACAGTTTGGTAGTGAAGTCATTAAGCCTGAGCAACATGGGAAAATTATTCTTACAAGAGTAACAATTAAAAAAAAGAACTGAGAAAAAGCACGTGGGACTTATGAATATGCATCTATGTATGTTATTAGAGTATGTCAGAGCTCTTCTTGAAAGCATTCACTGAATGTAAGCAGAAGCAACGGTCTCTATTTTGACTGTAAACAGTGTACAGCAAGTAATTTTCAAAGGGTTTCACCAGCATGTAGAACAGTGCAGTCCTAATCCATTTAACTTTTTCCATTAAGTAACAGCAATTACAATTCCCCTCTGTACTTCCGTCTGGGCACATTCAAAACCAACTGGACAAAAAATACCTTTGTGGAGCTCTGGCTTTCCTGACATCCTTACAATTCCTCTTGGCATGTTTCAGCTCCTCACCAAAGAGGTGAAGCAGCGGCTAGGATGTCAAGGGGAAGGTGCAGCAGAAGTGAAGAGGCACCCCTTTTTCAAGAGCATGAATTTCAAGCGGTTAGAAGCGGGAATGCTGGATCCTCCCTTTGTCCCCGATGTAAGTACGATAGTAAGAACTCCCAGTGGCCTCTTTGTTTCTAAAATAACTTCTCTTTTGTAGAGCTATCGTCACTCTCTGCATGGGTAGCTGCCCCAGGAAGATGAGATAAGTGGTAGGGCTGGAGTGGGAAGGCTGGGAGGCAGAGGAGAACTGCTCTGTAGATGTGTGCATGCAGGGTGGTAACCTGGGGCTTGATTCTTTCCCACTCACTTCACCACAGTCTTCTTTTGTGACACTGGAGGCACCACTTGATCTGTTCATGCCTCAGTGCCCAAATTTTAAACTGGGAAGCTTTGTATTCCCTTATCCATGGCAGTAGTGTGAGAATAAGTACACTCAGGACCAGGTGGTGCTTGGAACAATCAGCAATGAAAGCCACATGTATGCATACAGATGTATAGATAGATATGCTGAGGTGATAACAGAATTACAAAGTCCAAAGCTCTACAGAACTGAGGAATGGACTGGATCATCATGAAAACAGGGATTTGTTACAGAGAGTCTGAACCAGATTCAGATATCAAGTGTCACCTCAAGCAGAGGAGGTGACTTGGACCTCAGAGAGCATTTTGAACTTGTTAGTGTTCATGGGGCGCAGAACCCAGCACTGAGTCCTTACTCAGGTTTACACACCAGTCTTGAACACACTGAAAGTCTTTGTTGCATTGGCAAGAACAAAACTTTTTCTACCCTTTTGCGGTATCCGTCTCTACCCCAGTGCACAGAGTTATCTGATTATTTTCCTCCTGCAGGGCTCTCTTTCTGGCTAGACCCTCCATCCTTAAAGTTCCCATATGGTTCTAAGTAAACACTGCCATTTTAACGTATTAAGGAAAGTAACATCTTGGCAGCTTTCATTCACATTGCTGCAAACTCAACCAAACCAAAGTGGTTTGAACGCTACAAAAGTTTACTTTAGCTGCTCTGGTTTTGCTTTACATTTTACTATGTGGCCTAGTTATTCCTGCCAATTAGCCCATGGTGTTACGACCTGCTTTAGTGGGAAGAAATAGGAGACAAGCTACTATTTCTTTCTGATGTAGAAAATTAGAAAATTCTGGGCTCAAATTTGGGATCCGCCAGAGTGTATTAAAAGCTTAACTGTGGCATGTAAGGCCTAGAAGGCACCTCTTATAAGACATATTTGCTAAAGTAGAGGCACATAAATTTTTATGGCTATTTATTGGGAACTCAAGAGCTGTCCCTAATTTAATTTTTTTGGCACTTCATCCATAGATTTCCAAGTCTTTACTGAAGGCAGCTGAATCACCCAAAGCTATATAGCCAATGGCAGAGATTGTAATCCAACCCATGTCTTTCCGTCCTCTTCTAGACTACTCTGTCTCCACAAAAATGTTGTGGATTGCAGCCATCAGGAATGCAGAGGGACACAGCCTCCAGCAAGTAGGACTTCCGTCAGGAATCAGCTTGATTTGTTTGGTCATACTGCTCAGATCTAGATAAAATACTGCACAGTTGGACCCCTGGTCTGTGCAGTTATGGTACCATCTGTAGACAGTAGGATTCAACACGTGC